GCCCCGAGGCGTAAGGCCACGCCCCCGTCGCGCCGAGGCGCCTGTGCAGCAGAGCGCCGCCCGCAACGCCCCGCCCCCGAAAGGTGGTGGGGGGGGGAAGAGTCTCTTCACGACGCGCCGGCGCCGCCAGCTTTACGGCGGCGCGTGGCAACGGGCCGGTGAGCGGGCCGGGGCGCGCTCTGAGGCGGCGGGTGAGCGGCGCGCGGCGTTGCCATGGCAACGGCACCCCGCCCCTAACGGCTCCGCGGGCCCTGAGGGGCGGGGGGATGGAGGGGGGGGGGTCGCGTTTGCCGTTAAACCCCGGCGGTGCCGGAGCCCTGAGCTGCCTCTGACGCGAAAACGGCGGGTTTTGGTGAAGCGTTTGCGGGGCGGAGGCGGGAGCAGCCCCCCTCCCGCACCCCCCCCCACCCCCCCGGTGTTTATTTAACCTAAACAGCTAGATTTTCACGGAATTCAAGCGCGCCTTCTCTCCCGCAGCGCGGCGGACGCCCGGCCCGCGGCTCGGAGCGGCGCTAGATGCCCGGCCCGGATCGGTACGTGCGGAAAACGCCACGGAGAGGCCGCCGGGGGCTCGTCCCGTCCGGGGATGCTCCGGTCCCGGCTCGTCTTTGGCTCAAGGGTTTCCTCCCGCAGGCGCCAAACCGGATCCCGGCACCCCCTTTCCCACGCCGCGCTCCTGGTGCCATCCGTAGCCCTTATCTTAAGGGCTCGGAAAGGCACCGGAGCCGAGAAAGGGTTGTTTTTTGGGTTTTTTTTTTTTTTTTTGCCTTTAAGATGTGTAACGTGTGGTGAGTCACCGGGCCGAACACAGAGCAGTTTCACGGATACCAGATGGCAATAATAAAATTGAAAGCGGGAGCTGGTGGCAGCTCGGCGCCCGCGCTAACCGGGCGGCCTGCCTCATCGCAGGAGGCTGCCAAATGTCTCTCTGAAAATAACAATAATGTTTCTGCAGAGTGGAAAATTAACAGCGTACAGGATGCCCGCTTCCTTGCACAGCCTTTAATTTCATTTGCCCTTGACTRGAAGGCCGTTTGGCTTCCTCTGCGTGTCTTTGGGAGAAGACAAAGCAGGAATAATGCGGAGAAGGACAGGCTGGGGTGTTGTGTGCAACGTTTTGTGGACAAAACATTCGGCAGTGACCTTGTAAACCCCCAAACGGGCCACTTGTGGGCTTGCAGGATCTACAGTTGGTTGAGTGTGGTTACAACTACACCATTTACTAAGTTTCTAGGCGGCATTTGGGGGGGATTTTTTGCTTTTCTGCAYTGCCCCCTGCAACAGATTTGCCCTCTCTAAACTTGGAAGCGGTTTCATTGGGTGCATTAATAAAGGAAGCGCGGCCAAATGCCATTGCGTTTGGCTCAGCATAAATAAAAACGGCTGCTCCCCTTCCTCCCGGTGACTCTCGCTGCCTGGCATGCCTGGATCTATCGGATACACAAGTAGTTATTACGTTTTTGGGAGCGGGAGATATTTTCCCGTGGCCCTTCCTTCCAACGCCTTACACGTGCTTCGTGCCTGCTCTTATTTACAACTCACACACGTGGGCATCTTGCCAGGAGTTATTAGATATCAATCACTCTTAATTTATGCATACCTGCACAGGAAGGATTTCTTTTTTTAATGATTTGTGTTGCAATAAGGAGCCCAAATGTACCCCTTCCTAACGCGTAAACAACTCGGTGCATGTGACTTTTCCTTCCTATCACAGTGGGTAATTAGTGTCTTATTTATAATGAATCATGCTAAAGCCATCTCCTCATTAAGATTTTTTCACACAGTGCTTGAAGATATCCYGAGATGTTTTCTTGCTGTGTTGGACACAGGTGAGGCAAAAATGGCCTCAAGTCACTTGAACGTGGCCTCGAACACATGGATGGGAGAACCCAGGTGGTAAAACCCGCTTGTATTTCCAGAGGCTTTTAAGGAAATAGGCAGCTACACATTAAGAGGGGAAAAGGGAGCCTGGGGAAATGATGGAATGAAAGACTAGGATGGTGTGAGCAGAGGTCCTGGTGGGTGGACATCACGCAGGGGCTTCTACTGCTGGTGTCCAGGAGGATGGGGAGCAGCAAGGTGACGTCGCCAACAGCCAGAGGTCTTTGAAAACGGGGCTGAATGACTTGACGAGTGTCTGTGCTGAATTTCACCTGCCGTTTTCTCCTCAGGGGAACGTAGGGAACACCGTTTCCGCCTGCACATCTAAGGCTCCAGGGAAGTTCTCTGAAGCGAGATGAGCTGCAGGGAGGCATCGCACGTGTGCGCCCTGCTCTCCCCTTCTCGAGCCAGCATTTGATGTTCTCTGCCATCAAAGCCAGGCTGAATCTCCCTCTGACCCAGAGATTAGTCTTCTAACTATCACTGACATAGCCATAATAATAAACCCACTACAAGATATTAAAAACGCCCCACCTTTTGGTTAGGGAAGTAAATAATCAATGTAACAAGCAGCATTTGTGAGCAGAACTGTGGTGCGTTAGATGCCAAGCTGAACTTGATAGCTCTATTGTGAACTTGCCAGCTCCGGCTCGACTTGAATTCTTGCAGTCTCTACCAAGCGTGCGGTGAATTGGCCTAAACCCCACCCCGAACTGGAGGGAATGGGTTTGCTGGTAGTTTTGTTTTGCTGCGTTTCTGCGCTCCCTGCTCAGCGCCGCTTTGGCTGCCGCGCTGGCGGAGCAGCAGCGCTGGCTGCAGCGTGGGGCTGGCACCGAGTCGTGGCCGTATCTGTTACTCGTGTGAGCAGGCCTGAATATTGCTCTTACAGCCCTAAAAAAACTTCTTCTTCAGAAAACCAGTGAGGCAAAGAATTGCCACAACCCTCGTTGTACAGGTGAAACAGAAGCACCAGCTCTCCAAGAKCACATAGTTCTTCCTGCTGCTCCCCAGCTGCGACTGCTTTCAATTCCCCCCCAGCACAGGTTAAAATTGTAACTCTGAAATGTTTATCTCGGCAGTGAGTGCTGAGAAACGTGCTGCTCCCGGGCAGCAGGAGAGCTGCACACGAGGAACCGAGCTGCCTATCTTAATCCCATCAACGAGCAGACAGTTCAAACCTTGGTCCCGCAATACAGGTCTGGGAAACGTGGTCTTTTGTTCACCGCTCGCCAAGAAGGAACCTGATAAATTTGTTGCACTTCATCGTGATAAAGGTGGGGTCTGATTGCATCACTTACCTTCTCCCCTTCCTGCGTTGCAGCTTTGGGAGCTCCCTGGCGCCGGTCTCGGCAGAATGGACCCTGTGGTGCTCAGTTACATGGACAGTTTGCTGAGACAGTCAGACGTGGCCTTGCTGGACCCACCCAACTGGCTCAATGATCACATCATTGGCTTTGCCTTCGAGTACTTTGCCTGTGACCAGTTCCGAGAGTTCTGCGATCAGGTGAGTTTTATTGGGCCCGAGGTGGCCCAGTTCATTAAATGTGCCACGAGCCAGGAGGAGGTGGCCYTGTTCCTGCAACCGCTAGACCTTCTCCACAAGAAGCTGCTGTTCCTGCCCATCAACGACAACTCCAACCAGACTGCCGGAGGCAGCCACTGGAGCTTGCTGGTTTACTTCAGGGACAAAAAGTCCTTCGCCCATTACGATTCCCACAGCAAGAGCAACTCTGCCCACGCCAAGCAAGTGGCGAGGAAGCTGGAGGCCTTCTTGGGCAGGAAAGGGGGCAAAGTGCCGTTCGTGGAGGAGAAAGCGCCTGCCCAGCAGAACAGCTACGACTGCGGGATGTACGTGATCTGCAACACGGAGGCCCTGTGCCAGGGATACTTCCAGGGGCGGCAGGAGCCTCTGCTGCAGCTCCTCACGCCGTGCTACATCACGCAGAAGAGGGCCGAGTGGAAGGCCCTCGTGGCCGAGCTCGCGCGCAAGTGAGCGGCGCGCGGCGCCCTGTGCGCGGCGCCCTGTGCGCGGCGCCCTGCGTGCGGCGCGGTGCCCACCGTGCCCCGGGGACGTGCCCACGCGCAGCACTTGCCTGAAGCAGAACGTACCCCCAGCACGGCTGCACCCCGCGAGCGCCCTCCTCCCCCTCCGAAAGCCTTAGTCTGCTCCAGAATGCCTGGCCTTTGAACCCCGACTAGTAAAGTCACCTTGCTCTCAATTCAGTCTTCCTGTCAAGGGTGATTATTTTTTTTGCACTTCATGCTGGGGCAGAATGAGTTGCTAAAGACCCTTCTCCACCCCTGCCCAGCGGGCAACACACCCTGGCTGGAGGTGGCTGTAATTTGCTGCCCTCAACCAGCTTTGGCAGCCGCCCTTAAAACCCAGCTCCAAATGGTTCTGATCTGCCCCTCATGGTCTTTGTGAAAGCCAGAGTTAAGCAGCAAGGCTGCAGTCACAGCCAACAACCTGCTGCTGAGATATTTATAAAAAAAGAATCAAAAAGAAAAGCTGTCATTAGTTACAGAAAGGGGATTTTTTTTTTCCTTCATGTAGGTTTTTCCAGGCAGCATGAAAGTAGCTTTTCTTTCCCCACCCCTGCTTGCTCTTATTGCATATTAAAACCTGTCTCTGTGAGCCAGGGGAAGATTAATAGTGAGCAGAAAAAAACACATCCTAGGAAGGGAAGCTTAATTGAGATGGAAAGTGACATTCGGTCTTTGAAGTTTTCTTCATTACAATTTTAGGTCATCTCCCTTCTGCCGGGCGGGGGGAGGCATCCTCAAACTCTGCTTACCATTTGCGAGGACACGAGACGGGTGCCGTTCCCTCTAGCACAGAGCCAGCCCTCACAGACTCAGAGGAAAAACAAACCGAGGAGAACAAAGGAACAGGATTTGAGGTAAAAAAGCCAAGGAGCTGCCGCATCCTTGCAGCTCGAGGCGTGAGTGCTCAATGCACTTGTCCACCCCACCGCTGGCCTCTTCCGAACACGCTTTTCCTGCAGCGTTGGCCTATGGATGGGATCGAAGAGCTGATCCTCTTCCCAAAACACAGGACTGGCAGCAGAGGGGAAAAAATCCAGCTGTCCTTGCAGGGTGAGAAATAACCTGTACCCACCCGGGACACAGAGCCGGTTGCTTAGGCAGCGTCCAGCAGAATAACCCCACCTGCAACCGGCGCAGCGAAACACAGGTTAAAAATAACCCTGGCCCCAAGGCAGGGAGTATTTTTGCCCTGGGTCTCCTGGCTGATCTCGTTTGCTGCCCAGCCCCACCAACGCTGGCACCAGCACAAAGAGCGGGGCGAGCACTAGGGCAGCGAGCTTTGCTTGGTGCTTAGGCAGAGGTAAGCGCATGCCCCCCTGCTGACACCCCCAAACACCCAGGCAGCGGTGCTGTGGGTCCCTGTGAGGCCACGGCCTCGCTGCCGGCGGCAGCCTCCTCCAATGGGCCCTCTGGAGCAGTGGAGCCCGCGCTGGGAAGCGGCCTCAAGTCTCAACGGGAGGAACCGGCCTTGTAGCCGGAGCGAGCACTGAAATGGGCTCTGCGGGAGCTTGGTGCCATGGGGAGGATGAACCTGCTGGGTCAGCACCTCGGCCACGTTTTTAGGGGCAGCTGTGGAGCAAGGGGGGCGGGTGGGTGGGAACAGGGGCTGGAGAAGGTGGGAAAAGGCGCATGGGGAGAGAAGGGAAGCGGGAAGGTCTTAGGCCGCAAGTGCTCCCAGGGCCTGAGGACAAAGCCGTGTTGACAAGCCAGGCAGGTGCCCCCCGCGGGCCAGGCCCCCTTCCCACAGCGCAGGACGGTACAAGAAGGGAAGCCAGGGAAAAAGGAGGAGGAGGAGGAGGAGGAGGAAGGCTGAGCCTGTGCCAGCAGGCCCGGCAGCAGGACAGGGCGCGGGAGGCCGCGCTGCAGGGCCGCATCCTGCTGCCTTTGCCGCCATCTAGCGAGGGCTTCCCGGCTGCCTCCAGCCCCGTGTTCCAGTCGGGAGCTGGGCTCCGAGCGGGGACAGCCCCAGCGCCCGCCTCGCGGCCAAGGACCCRCGCCCAAGGACGCGCCGCAGCCGCGGGCGTGCTACAAAACCGGACTTTATTGCGGAGTCGCCGCGGGCTCGGCCAGGGGAGCCGGGCGCGCGGCGCTGGGGAAGGACGCGGCCTCCCGCGAGCCCGGGAGCCGCTTCCACCCCGCGGAAAGGGCCTTGCGGCGCTCCCGTCACCCGGCCCACACCGCGCGGCGACGCTGGGCCCGGGGGACCCTAAAGTGCTTGGCGAGAGGAGCCGCGCGCGGGCGCCCCGGGAACGAGCTCCCTGGCTGCCGGGAGCAGCCTCGCGGCCCCCTGGAGACGTCACCGCGGTGGCGGAGGCGCTTCCCGGGCTCTAACACTGACATTGGCGGCACCTTCCCGGCGCGGGACACGGACCCTGCTCCCCCGGGGGCCCACAGGGCAGCCCGGCACGCGGGAGTGAGCGGGACTGGAGACAACGGCCCCAGCACGGGAGCAGGGCCGGCGAGGACAGGCCCGGGCCCCCTGCATCCTTTAGGAGKTCCCCCACTTGTGCCCAAGGGCTCCCGGTCTAGCTAAAGATCATCTTTTAACACAGAAATCCCAAGTCTGGGATAAAAAACAGTGACCGTTGTAGCAGCATGTCCTCCGGGCAGGCCCAAAGCGGGGCAGCGGTGCCTCAGCGTCCCGGGAAGACAACGCGTTTCCAATGGCACGGGGAGTTGGCACCGGTGGCCGTCACCCATGGAGCAGTCCTGCTCGGGAGCGGGAGTCCGCGAGGGAGGAAAACAGAGGGTATTTGGTCCCCGAGGGAAAGTCAGGCCACGTGCAACAGTCAAGCCTGGGGCTACTGAGCGGAAGACACGGAACTCGCCTCCTTCCAGAGCGGGATGGGTGCACGAGGGCCTGCACCAAGTTTGCAACAGGAGCCACCGGGTCCCACAGGCGGGAGGACACGGGGCTCTGCCGGGGCTGAGCGGAGAGGAGAGCCCCGACACTGGGAGATCCGGGTGCTCCAAACACTGCGTCCGCCTTTGCGGCAGCCTGGGCGGCCGTCTGTACACAAAGTGCTTCTCCCTCGTTGTCTGTGCTGAGCCAGAGCTCCGGGCTAACAGTCACCTGCAACCAGAGGACAGGGTAGGACAGAGGCGAGCGCCCAGCGCGGCACCGGGGTCCCCTCGCACGGGCTCCAAGTGCCACGGAGGCAGACGGCGCCCCGGCCACGCAAACCACAGCTCCTCTGGGGGATGCTCAGCAACGCGAGCGCTATCTACCACGCGGTGACCGTGCCCCGCATCGTCCTCCTGTCCCCAGACACCCCTCCGGGCAGAGGGGCCCTCACCTCCTGTGCCCACGGGAGAGGTAGTCCCGATTCAGGGAGCAGAGCTGCTGCTCCAGGCGGAAGATGCGGAACGCCAGGTAGGAAGACGACACGACCAGGAGGCAGATGCTGCGGCCCAGGGGACAAGCACCAGCAGTCAGGGCTGCGGGCCGAGGCCAACGCTCCCCGCGGGAGGGCTGGCCCGGCCGCCCCGCGCCCCGAAGCCGCGGCCCCTCCGCTCACTCACAGCACGATGAAGATCTTCAGCAGCTGGTAGTCGGAGGGTCTCAGCTCGGCCACGCAGCTCTGCTCCCCCTCCAGCTCCTCCTCTGTGTTTATTGCACTTTCTGCAAGGCAAGCCAGGCGCTGTGTTCCCCCACATCCCCGCTCCCGCTGTGCCCAGCGCGCAGAGCCCTCCATCCTTCACCAAGGGCCAGCAAGCACACGTTCAAGACGGATTTTAGCCCGGGAAGCACCACATTAGGGCCAGGCCTCGTGTCTCACCTGAGACCAAGGGCTCCTCCGAGGTAAAGGAGCTCTCCTTGGCGCTGAGGCTGCTGCCCGAGGCCCGGTGGATGCACTGGTACTCGGCGTCCGGGAGCGACAGCGAGAGCGACGCGGGCGACACCTTCCTCCACTTGCCCTCGGGGACGATGACCTCCTGCGGGCAGCACCGGGGTTGGTGGCCCCGCGTCCCGCTCCCCGCGGAGCCGCCTGCGCCCGCCGCAGCGCCCACGAGGGGCAGCAGTTCCATAGATGTTCTGACAGCAAAGCCCTACGCGCACCCAGCGCCGCTTATCCCTAGAAAACGGCTCCAGCCAACATGGGAGCCTCTGCCGAGAGACGTTGCCCTGGTTGAAACCCAACCACTCGTCCCCTGTGTCCCCAGCCCAGCGCGGAGCTGGCGCTTCCCGCCACACGAATGCACTCGAGCCAGGAGCCGAGGACGAAGCGGCTCCGACCCGTCACCTCCAGCCCTCGGCCAGGCCCTGGGATGCTCCAGAGCTCACAGGAACGTCACCAGCGCCAGCAGCASACACCGTCTGACAGCTTGTACCTGCTCCCCGTCATCACTGTGCCCTTCCTTCAGACCTGCCACGGGGGCCTCCTTGCAGACGCTGCAGGTGCTACTTCCTAACCACCCGGGACCGGCAGCAGCGAGCAACCAGCTCGCCCGGGGCCAGCACGAGCTTTTCTAGGTGCCGGCTTTACCCACCCGGCCCCCTCATCGCTCACATCCCAGACAAAGCGCGCGGCTCGAGCAGCTCTGAACAACCTGAGCGCCGCGTGGGGACCGCGGCGCGCTGCAGAGACCCTGCCTGGAAGAGGAGGAAGAGCCAAAGCCCGGCCCAGGAGCTGCTTTCCACCACATCTGGCCATCCTGGCTACCGTCCTTCCCCGTGGCCATAGTGAAGCGCTTGCCCGTTCAGCTGTAAGCCCAGGGATGCTCAGACACCACRAGGAGCAGAGCCATCAACATAACATGTTTCCAACGCATCATCCGCGCTTGCAGCACTGGGAACGTCACCGGAACGGGAGAGCGCAGCCGGTGGGAGCCGAGAAGCCGCCTTTGGGACACTCTGAAGGCGCCGAGCGGCTGCTCGGGCAACGCTCGCGCCCAGCCGTGGGTTTCCCAACCACCCTCCTGACCCTTCCATTGACGCTGCTGTTGCTGCCACGTCCCAGCAGACGGGTGAAGCCGCCCGCGCGGGTGCTCCCTGCCCGCAGCGCGAGGACGGCCCTTCCCGCACGCGGCACCGCGGGCTCCGCTGCGGCTCCCCACGGTGAACCCGGCTCACCAGCGACACGGCATCGGGCTCCTCCGAAAATTCCTTCAAGCTCAAGCTCTTCTTGCTCGAAACCTGGAGAGCAGAAGAAAACAGAGGTCACCAACACCTGCCCACGGGGCTGTTCCCCTTTTCCTATCTAAGCCCTGATCACAAGCCTTAGTTTTTAGGCACAGCTGAGAAGTCTCACATGTGGGGGAATTAAATTGGATTCCCTGCGCCAGACCTAGCCAGGCAAGGTGCAAAGGAAGGCAGCAAAGGAGCAACCTGCAAACTGCTTCTTTACTGGCAAGGAAGTRTTTGCCCTTCGAGAAGGGTTTGTGGAAGAGTTTCCGTCAGCTCTTTGGGCTGCACCGTGGGTCACCCCGAACACTGCCCCGTGTCCCAGCGCACCCGGGAAGCGCCCGTTCGGGGCAGAACRGCACCCCCGCTTGGGAGTGCTCCATAGGCACGGACAAGGGGTCCTGGCAATCCTCATCTCCAGCTCAACGACCGACAGATTTATGAATTTCTCCGCCCTTTAGGCTTTTTGATTAATTTTCTATATATATTATATATGTGTGTGTGTGTGTGTGTGCATGTATATATACACATATATACACACATAAATATATATATWTTTTTTAAAGAACTTTGTATCATTTTTCCCCAAACTTCAGAGGAAAAGCCAGCGACGCGCGTACCGGCAGAACGGGTATTACTGCCGGATTAGAACCGATCCGTACACACGCCCAAGGAGCCAACAGAAACTGTGCCGGGCCCTGCCCAGCTCATGGGTGACCCAGAAAAGGTCACAGGGAGCTGGGACACGGGGCCTACGTGGCACGTGAGTGACAGCGGCCGGGCCCAGACGCCGAGAGCGATGGATGGGGACAGCCSCGGCTCGGGGATGGAGTGGCCGACGCCACGAGGGAGCCCGCGGGTCGCAGGGGGCTCTAGAGACGCCCCGGGCGACGTGTTTGCTGTAAGGGGATCACAGGCGGCCCAGGGCCCGCGCGAAGCRCCGGCGCTGCGGAAGCGGCGGCAGCCGGAGGAGCGGCCGGTGGGACGCGGTACCTGCAGGTGGGTGCAGACTCTCCTCAGCACGTCGTAGACGCTGTCCCGCGAGATCAGCGACACAAAAATGTACTGCGGAAGACAGACAAGTTGCCGTGAGGGATCCTTCCCTGCTCCATCCGTCCTGCCGCGCCGGAGGGACGGTGGCCACCGGCTCGGCCTCCAGCACGCRGGGGACACGAGACGATGCTGGACCGGCCACCAGCAGCTCGGCACGGTTGCCCGATGCCACCGCAGCGCTGCTGCTTGCCGGGGCCTTCGCGGGAGGGCCGGCGTCCCCACAGGCGGGGACGTCCTGCCCCGGATCCGCTGCCCTTGGGAGCCGCGGCGCCCCGTCCTCCCCGCACGCATCTCCCTGCGCTCCTCCCCGGCTRCTATTTTTCGAAGCAGCCTAAAACCTGCACCAGATTTTTTGGGGCCGCTTCTGTTTTGGTGCTGTCCCCGCAGCCCAGCTCGGAGCGCGGGGAGGACGGGGCAGCCGAACGCGGCCCCGAGGCTCCGGTCGCGGCCGGGGAGGAGGCAGCACCAGCCCTGCCCGGCGGGCTCCRCACCGGGCACGAAGAGGCCCTGGAAAAGGGAGGTCGTTTGATCACCCAAATCCCATTTTGTGCCACCCCTGGCTAAAATCCCGCAGGTTTAATCAGCTCCTGCCACCCTGCTCGGAGGGGACAACGAGCCGGGCGCCGCCTCGAGCTCAACGTCACTCGCAGCAACGCGGTGCCCTCGGCAGGAGGGAAGCTGGGGAGCCCCAAACAACAGCACATCAACACCTTCCCGCAGGCAACAACCGACRCGTCAACCAAGGCCCCTTGACCAAACTTCCCGCCGGCTCGGGTTAAGTTTTGCCCCAAACCTCATCTCCTCCCTTGGGTTCAAGGAGGTTGAAGGGGTTTGCGGGGCTCTGCAGCCTCACCGGGCTTTGCTGCGGCCAGAAACCCAGGCAAAGCTGCAGTGTTTGCCCTGGCCGGGCGCCAGCGCAAGGGGCTCCGCTGCTTCCYGAGGAGCGGGAAGGGCCGCGCCGGGGCGCGAGGGGCTCCCCTCACCTTCCTGCTGGCCGTGGTGGTGATGGCCAACCCGTTGGGCAGCAGCCGGGCCGTCTTGTGCTTCTTGATGAGCTGCACGGACACCACGGGGATCACGACCTGCGAGGCAGAACACGCGGTCGCGGAGCCCGGCGCGCGGGGCCAGGCGAGCCCGCCCGGCACCTCCCAGCCCCGGGGCCCGTTTTCCTTGGAAACACAGAGGTTTTCCAGGCAGGAGCGTAAGCGCCCTGTGACCGGCAGCRAGGCGGGGATTTAGCCTTTCCCAGGAGCAGCTCTGCTTTGCTAAAGGTCACCGTGCCCCCGTGGTAATCTCGGCTTGGACTTCGTTTCTACTTGAACAAAACAGCGAGGACGCGGGGAAGTCTCCATCCAACGCAAACACAGCGGGGCTCCGTGCGGCCCATCGGGCGCCGCGCGCCGAGTCCCTGCGCTCAAAGCAAGGCCGGGTGCAACTCACGGCAGCGCAGCCCCGCAGAGCCCCGGCGGGCTCTGGAAACGAGCGCTGCCCTTCCATGCGGTGCCTGTTTCAAGGCGCTGCTCTAAGCTGTGCAAGCGCTCGGCAGCAACGACCCCCTTCAAACGGGGCCGAGGAGCCGCGGCGGCCACAGCACCGAGCGGAGAACGTCCTGCTGCAGGCGGAGCAGAACGGCCGGAGCCCTCGATCCCCCTCCWGCAGCGCCGCGGCACCTACGAGCTTCTGCCTTGGGCAGTTCTCAAGCAAACCCGTATTTGCTTTCCCGAGGCAGAGAGGGAGGCGATGGGAGGGCAGCTCCCTCCTTGGCCGTGTGAAGCAGCACCGGGATGGCCCAGGCGCAGGGAGCGCTTGGGACGGAGGTGAYGGACGCAGGGGAGAGCGGCTCCGCCGGGAAGGACGGGAGGCCGCGGAGCCGTTACCTTGATGTCCTTGCCGAAGAGGTTGGCGTGGAAGCAGAGCCAGTTGGGGGAGATGTACAGCCTTCCCTGGATGAGGATGTCCCTCTGCAGCGCGCAGGAGCAGACTGCAACGCAGAGCGGCGACGGCGGCGCGTGAGGACGGTGCCGGCGGCGCCGCGCGCCGGCTCCGCGCCCGCTCCCACCTTTCAGCACGCTCTCCTCCGTGGGGATGTCCTTGAAGAGCTTGTGGTACTGCGAGTTGTACTTGCTGGCGGCCTGCAAGCAGAGGCGGCACCGCGTCACGGCGCGGCCGGGGACACCGCGACCCCGGTGGGTCCCCCAAGGCGCTGCCGGAGGGTCCCGGCGCCGGCCCTCCCGCCCCCCGTGCCCCCTGCCCCCCAGTATCCATGGAGGAGACAGCCAAGCCTCCGGCAGGACGGGGCTTCCCAGCGGTAAGCCGTGATTCCGGCTGCGTGTCCCGGTGCGGGGCGGGGGGCACTTGCTTTGCGCCCCTCGCGCCGCGCCATCCGGCTCCCGCTCTTCCCGGCGCTTCCCGGAGCCCRCGCGGAACGGTGGGAGCGGCGGCGGCCCGGGGCTGCACCTCGCCACGGCAGCTGCACACGGCTAAATATAAGCTAAATACATGGAAGTAGTTCAGCGCTCTGCGCTAAATCTCCGCGCTTAAGACAGCCCTCTGGCAGCTTCCTAAATTAGGATCGCTCAGCATCACTTGGAAACGTCAGGTCGGCCCCGCTGGGACAGTCCCCCAAAATCCGAGGGAGAAATGCACGGGATCGGGAGCCGAGGAGCGCGCAGGGATCGGGGCAGCGTTTGCAGGACAGCGACAAGGTGGCCTCAACCCTGCGCGGCAGCGGATAAGCCGGGCGCTAAGAGGATCAGGGCTCAGCAGCACAAGGGCTCTGCTCAGCTCCCGTCGGCTCCGCTCCCTCCGGCTCCTTGGGAAGTGGTGGGAACAGAGCTGCGGTGCCCTCGGCACCCGCTCCCCGCCAAGCGCAGGGCCCTGCCGCGGCGTCGAAGGCCGCTCGGAAGCAGGACAGGCTGCTTGTTCGCTTGGGAAACCCTCCCGAGCGAGGCCAAGGGAGGCCCGGGCTCCCAGCAAGGCCAGGCTTCCTTTGGGAGGAGCGGAATTGCCGCGTCCAGCCCCCCAAGGGCGTAGGAGGGAGTGGGGGCGACTCCTCCCCACGGTGCCGCGAGCCRGGCCGGGCGGCCCCTCTCCGTGTGGGGGAAAGGATTCTGTGCTGGTGTGAGCCCGTTCCACCCGCAGAGCCCCGCGGCGCCAGCGGGAASGGCGCCCGGCACCTACCACGTCCCGGTGGCACTTCTTGAGGTCCTCATCCTTCAGGGCTTCGCCCAGGTGGAGGCTGCAACAAGGAGCCGGGTGAGCCGAGAGCGTCGTGTCCCTCTCCAAAGGCACAGCAAGAGGGAAAGGCGAYGGCAGCGGTGCCCGCGGCCGCCTCGGCGCCCTCCTCGCCGCACGGAGGCACGCAGGGAGRCGGGCGCGGGGCTCGGCAGATCCCGCCGGGAACGGGCAGCATCCCGCGGGGCTCACCTGCCATCCAGCGAGTCCAGGCTCCTGTCCTTGTGCGYCGCGTCCAGCCTGTGGCGCCCGCGCATGGGCTCGGGGCTGCTCTGCGGCGCCGCGCGCTCGTGCATCGGCCCGGCCTGCGGGGACGCGGCCCTGAGCCCAGCTCTGCCGCTCGAGGGCGGCCACGTCCAGGAGAGCAAAAACTCCCGCGTTTGCTGGAGGCGCGCGGGGGATCAGGGGCACCTCCTGCCACGGGAGGCGAGGAGCGAAGGCTCCGGCCGCAGCGGCTCCCGGCAGCGCAGGGACGAGCCGGGCTGGCCGGCCGAGCAAGTGCACCGGGAGCCCTCGGAGCCCGTGCCGCACGGAACGGCACCACGCGGAGGGGAAGGGGAGCCCTGCAAAAGGACACGGAGCGCGACGTTCTGGAGCGGCCCCAGCTCTGCCCGGGCGCTCCCGGGAATCCTGCGGGACTCACGCGGCCGCTCCCAGAGCCCGGGCCCCCTTCCCGGGCAGGGAGCAGCCGCCTCCGCCTCGCGCCTCCGCCTAAACCGTTACTGGCTGCCCGGGGCTTATCAGCAGTGCTTATCAGCTGCAGGCAGAAAGGCCACGTGCTCCGCGGGGAAGGTTATCGGCGGCAGGGCACGGAGGTGAGGCCGCCGCTCCGCGTTCCCGGGAATGGCAGCGGGATGCGGTGAGTGCCGGAGCGCGGGCAGCGCCTGCTCCCTGCGCACGGGCAGGTGACAGATGGCCCCGTCCTGGGCGAGGGATGGGGATGCAGAAAGGGAAAAGGGATAATCCCGACCGAGAGCGTCACCGGGGAAATTAATTTGCCGGCTGCTTTTCCTCCAGGCCTCGGAAGGATGAGCCTGAGACCTGTGGAGCGCGCAACACTCAGCAGCCCGAATCCCGAATCCCGGCGGGAGCAGCCCCCCGCTCCGGGCGGATCGCAGCCGGCCAGGGCGCAGGCGCCGCTCGCTCCTGCCGGGCCCCAATGTCACACGCAGCCGAGGGGGCCGGGGACGGACCCGCGGCGCCGGTGGGATCACAACAGCCACACAAGCGGCTCCCGCCGTGGCCTCGGGAGCCGGAGAGCCGCTCCATGGGGCGGGAAAGAGCGGAGAAAAGCCCTGGGATGGGCCCAAGGCGCCAGGAGGGCTGCGGCACTGTTCCCGGACAAGGATGCTCAGCGAGCCAAGAAGCCGGAGCGACAAACTGCTCCGCGAGGGCAGGCCGGAGGAAACAAACCCGGCCAAGCGCCCCCGGCAATGCCCGGCTGGACAAAACCCGGAAAAACCAGCCGGCAAATCCGCGGCGGGCGCTGGCCAAGCGAGCGCCTGCTCCCTGCAGCAGGCCGGGAAGGGGGACGCGGACAAGCCCCTCTCCCTCTGTGACGGGCCCCGCTCCGGAGCTTCCCTGCGGAGCCGCCACTGGCCTCCCCCACGCGATCCCTTAAATCCCCGCGCAGCCGCAAGGCTTAATCCGCGACGGGGGATTTAGCCCTTCCGGGCGCTCCGGTTGCTGCCCGAGCGGCCCGGGATGATCCCGGACG